GGCCAAGAACATCGGGACAAACAAACCTAGACGATCTAGTTAGGCAAGCCGAAATAGATAAGTTCCAATTGAATGAGACCAAGTGTAAAGAGTTGCAGATAAGTTTCTCAAGGTCTGTAGATCCTTTCGAAGCAGTTACTATTAACAGAGATTGTAACTAGCGCAAAACTTCTTTGTCCCACAATTTCAAACAATCTAAAGTGGAACGCTCACATAGAGAATGTTATCAAAAAAGGAGCCTCTAGGCTATATCTATTAAGGCAGCTTAAGCGTACAAAAGGAGATCCTGCGCAGCTACTTTGTTTCTATACTACGTGTATCCCGCCCATGTCTGAATATGCCTGCCAAGTTTTCCACAATGGGCTGCCTGAGTATCTCTCTGAAGAGCTAGAGAAAATTCAGCGCCGTGCACTTAGAATTATTTTCCCAGATTTAGGCTATCAAGAGGCTCTCAAAGAGTGCAATATTGCCACTCTCCATCAACGGCGCCAATGGCTGACAGAGCGCCTATTCAATGAGATTAAGGACAACAGCCTCCACAAATTACATGGCCTTTTGCCGCCACGTAATCTTAGTACTGAAGCCTTAAGGAGAAAGCGCGCTTTTAACGTGCCTCTTTGTAGAACAAATAGACTAATGAACAGTTTTATCATGCATAACGCGGCTATTTTCTAATGGTTTTATTGTAAATTCGCGGCTATTTTCTTAAATTTCATGACGTAGTATCTTTGTTCCTTTGTTTTATTTATTTACTGTTATTGATTTATAATAGTTAGTCTTAGTATTCAATGTATTGTACAGTCCGTAATCCAGCCCTTGGGCTGCAATAGATTTTTAATAAAGCTATCTATCTATCTATCCAAACTACCAAGTCCACCACCCCGCCCCCGCCCCCTGATCCAGCGGTTATTCGATCCAACAATAGAGCTTCCCACCTGCCATCTTGGTATTTGCTGCAGTGCGAGGCATCACAATTAGAAGATGAAATGTCTGACGAGGAAAATAAAAATAATGCAGATATTGACCCTACTGAGGCTACTATAGCCGCTGGGGCAACTCTTAGTAGATCTGTAAGGGCCGTAGCCAGATTTCAGAACAAGACGAGGCAAATTTCGAGCGCCGAATGCGCGAGCCGATAGGGGGGACTGGGGGCAAATTTGAAATCTAGAAGCTCAGAAATGCTCTTGTAAGCATTTTCCGTGGCATTTTTCTTCAGAAAAGTCAATCTTGGGCAAGTGTAGAAGTTCACATTTTTATTGCTTAGCGATACTGGTGCCAAGTTAATGACCATCTGCATTTTAAAGCATTCAAATGTTGTAGCACGTACTATAACAATAAAATGAATCCACGAGAGTAGCCAACGTTTATGTATTTTATACTGCAGAAAATTAGCAGAAGTCTTAGGTAACACTTTTTTGAAGTTAGTTCTTTGATGATATACAGAATCACCCTCAATTATCAATTATCTGTTTTGATACACCCTTGCTTATGTTCTTCAACTTTGAGACAGCCATGTCATAATATTGCCCTCTCTTATACTTGTAGGACTAAGAAGTCAGCTGAAGTCACTAACTTTCACGATTAAGAGTAGTAAACTTCTCCCCTAACAGTTAGAAAAGTGAACGTTTTTTGCCCGTCGCTTATTCTTTACTGACAGCTAAGGCAATCCGTCCACCTCTTTAAAACAGAACTTCTGTCAATTTCCGTTGGTTTATGAATGTACGCTAAAGCAACCCCTTTCAGCCTCGCATCAGTCGCATTAGCCATGCTTGTTCGGGACCTGGTTTTAAGCCTTCTCAGTGAGCTGAAGTTTCTTCAAAGAAAAAAAAAAGGCCAAAATCAAGACGAGGCAACTGCCTCGTCTTGCCTTATGCTAGCTACGGCCCCGTGTAAGAGCTTCAGTTTCTAGAAGTTTTAACGATCGATCAACAAGACAATGCCCTAGAGGACTACCTTGAGGCCTCAGTTATGATAAGACTGATACAACGATGCAAAGAGGCTGTAAACTTTAAAGTTTACAACCTCTTTGCATTGTTGTATCTTATCATGAGAAGATAAGATAAAGGCTGTAAAATTTATCACTGTCTAAAGTGTACAGTCAGCACTATGATGTCTATAGCAAACATTGTGATGTTTACGCATTAGAAACGTCATTAGAAAATACTTTCTATTATTAGATACGTTGAGCTTAAAGATTATATTGATCACAACAAATGATGTTACACTACACATACAACGTCATGTTTTGAGTAGTAATCTAGAACAAAATGACTCTCAAAAGTAAACAAGTTTTCTAAATTTTGGTGGCAACTTTTAAATTTTTTTAGCAACCTTAGAGCAACTTTTGGGTGTATTGTCAAGCAACTTTTGCTGGATTTACTAGCACAATCTATTCATGCCTAGTTGTGATGACGAGGGCCGCTCCATTATAATTGAAGCGGAGGTCCAAGGTTCGCCATTTTTGTTTGTAAATATTTATGCTCCAAAGAAAGGTTCAAGACCAATGCCATTTTTTTTGATAATTTAAACAAACATATTGAAGACTGCGTCATGAATGAAGAGCTTAGAATTATTCTCGGGGGAGACTTTAATGTAACACTCGACTCTGATCGTGACTGTTCCAGTGGTAGACCTTTTAGAAAAGATTCTGTAAAAGACATACAAGACTCAGGGGCACCCAACGAGGATATAGTTCAAAACCACTTAACATAGCATTGTTGAACGTATTTTAGTATTCAAACGGTAGATATAGGCATATTTTTATCCCCTAAAAACTTTTCATCTGTTCGGATTTCCTAGCTGAAAGTCTAGTGATCCGAAAATTATAGGGATAAAAACTTACCTTCTCGAAAATTTCAGCCAGGAAAAGGCTCCCGAAAATTCTAGGTGGCCTTTTTTAGGGTCAAAATCCGTTAAAAATGGGTAATTATGCCATTTTGTAGATGTTCGAAAATCCTAGGAGAGGCAGGCAAGCAAGAAATTTTACAACAAATGTTCCGAAAATTCTAGTTTGGTTGACATTTGGCGCACTCGAAATCCGGACTCTAAACGCTTTACGAGGCGTAAAAGAAATCCTTTCAGTTAAAGAATATTTGATCATTGGCTGATTAACGATGTATGCCAAGACGACATTGAGAAGTCCGATATCATTCCTTCGATAAATTCAGACCATTCGGCAATTTTTCGCCATTTTAACTGCATAGACAAACCAAAACGCGGCCCCTGTTCCTGGAAGTTTAATTCTAGCCTTGAGTTGTGAATGAAGACGACTTTGTTGCACTGATAAATGAAATTGTGCCTTTGTGGTTAGAGGTTCCGAGGAGAAGTTAGATAAAAGGTAGCCTGCGAAGCGCCAGACGCATTTCCGGTCGTCGCTTCTCTCCCTCCGAAAAATAGCGTCTGCTATTTTTCGGAGGGAGACAAGCGACGACCGGAAATGCGTCTGGCGGTTCGCAGGCTGGATAAAAGGCTGTTGGATTTAATTAAGTACAGGATTAGACAAACTGCAATAACACACAGCAAATAAAAAGCACGTGAAAGGAGAAGAAAGATCTTTGATATTGAGGCTTCTCTGAAGATTTCGGAAGAGAGATGCGTTGTGATGAGAAGTTAAGTTACACTTAAGTGGTCAAATTGTTTTACTTGTCAGAAAAAGCGTATTCGAAAATTGTTTATAAAGAACCTCGAAACAGAATCGTCACTCCACCAACTGCTAAACTAAAGTTTCATGCCCATTTTTTTAATGACACTTTGAATTGGAAAAAAATTCATAGCTTGCTATATCGTGTTGCCTTGGATACAAAGACTCGCGAATTTCAGTATAAATTACTAAACAGATGCCTTGTGACAAATACCTTCTTATGCAAAATTGGTATTATACCATCTCCAGCGTGCTCCTTATGTGGTGAATCGGATGAATCCCTCGAACATCTTTTCCTGTCTTGTCATTATACTAATAATTTCTGGTCTGAGGTTATAAAATGGCTTGTTGATCATAAGGTCGAGATTAAAAATCTTTCAGACAAAGATATACTGTTTGGTATTATTGGATGTGAGGACGAGATATTTGGGAATCATATATATTTTATTACTGGCAAACAATATCTATACTCTTGTAGACAGAACAAATATTCTCTCTCCATTAGGGTTCTTAATTCCAAAATTAATACTGTCTTCTTAAAAGAGACAATGATCGCTAAGTCAAACATTAAGTTGGAGACCCACAATATGAAATGGAGAAAATATAAATCTGATGAGCATACGATCCTTTCGCCGCTTACTTCATGTATTATTAATTTTTAATAATTTTTTTTTTCATGTAAATAGAGAAGAAGGTATTGGGGTGTGTTTCTTTCTTTCTTTCTTTTTTGTCAGTATGTAATTGTGTGTGAGTCTGCGATGTATGTATGTCAGGATGTATGTTTAGTTTTCTTTTCCTTTTTTGTATTTTTCCTACGTGTTCATAAGTCAGTGTGTAAAAAAATGTAATATATAACAAAGTGAAAATTCATTAAAATACAAAAAAAAATTGTTTAGATGCCAAAATCTCATTTGGTTCCTAGCAATCAACTCATAGTACCTTCAACCTTATTGTCCCCGGCAACACGCATCCAAACAGACGAAGGCACAAAGCCACATGTACAAAAATACCTACGCTTAGACCGCTGACATATGAGCTATATTTTCAAAACGGGGTTATCAGTTACAGTAGGCGTTCCCTTCCATCTCTCCCTAATCCCTTCTCCTTTTTCCTCCCTCCTTCTTTTCTTTTTTACCCTCCCCCCCCTCCTTTAACGCCTGCTACGCAGGCTATAAACGCCCGCTTAGGTGCTTAGGAAGGAGGGAGAAATGCAACGCGAACTCGCTTAAACCTTCCTATCAATCATCGCGCAAACAAGATAAGTGGCTGGGTACGAGTCTGCTTATCACCCTCATCCTCGAGTCTGCTTATACCCTCATACGGTTGTTTCCAGCGTATTCAAGTATTCGCGAACGGTCAAACAAAAGGTCTGGAGCGAGGCTAAAAATTTGAGCAATCCAATTCCTGCTAGCCTCCCACGCAGACGTTCTTAAGGGTTCGTGACACGTGACAAAACCCTAAGAACGTCTTTGCGGGAGGGTAAAGTCCTGATCACCAACAAGGAAATCAAGCTCTCATAGACGCTGAAATTACATCAAGATTGAGTCCATCGATGCGATGCTGAAGATAAAAAGATAGGAGATGAATCACCCTTCAAGGTTTGTTAAACTCAACGTTGGCGGTCAGTACTTCACAACAAATGTGGAGACGCTGAGAAAAGATCCCAACTCGTTGTTAGCCTCCATGTTTCCTAGGAAAGCGCATGCTGTTTTGATAGCTTCTCAAGACGGTTCGATCATTATTGACCGCGATGGAACTTACTTCCGGTTTATACTAAATTATCTTCGTAATGGAGAACTTATCTTGCCTGATGGTGCTACATTCCTAAAGGAACTCAAAGCAGAAGCTAAGTTTTACCAAATTCAAGGGTTATTGGATGAACTGTCGAAGCCTAAAGAACCAAAAGAGTTCGTTGATTCGTTGATTTTGACAAATGAAGAGCATCGAGTCTTGAAAGGTTGGTTGCCTATGGCTCTGGTGGGCAAATGGCGTTTGCTGTTTCGAGCTTCACGAGATGGCTTTGTTCCTTCAGCATTTCATTCCAAATGCGACAACAAAGGGCCTACAATCACTGTTGTAAAAAGTGGTGGAAACATTTTTGGAGGCTTTACAGAGAACGCTTGGACAAGTAAGTTAAAAAAAAACTCACTCCTGATGAATGGTTGAGAACTTTAATTCAAATTTTATGCATGTCGCATACCCTGTGCAGACATTTGTGCATTAATCCCCCTGTTAATCACCCTTGTTAATTTCCTTCCTTATTTTTAAATTATTATTTCCTTTTTATTCTGAAGGCTTACACACTGCTCATTTGGGTACCTAAGCCATTGACTCGAACTAATAAACACCGCCGTGGCTATAACCGGTCCGCAAGGTTTCAAAACACTAAATGACCGGCAGTCGTATATTCTCCGTAAATTTCGCAAATCGCAAAAAAATCCAGCTGAACCAAACTATCATATGTCGATTAAGAAAAGTCAAGCTATCCTGAAATGCTTTATAGATCTCAAGTCTAGCGTTTGGTTTACCCTGGGCTCAGGTTTTGAAAATCTTGAATTTTCCCGTTACCGGTCGTATAGCCACAGCGAATATAGCCACTGCGAAAAAACACCAGTGCATAGGATCGATTTAATTGAACTAGGATAAAAGCAGGATATAAGTAACTCCTTTATAGCTGGCTTTAACTATTTCTACGTTTCTTACTCAAGGGGAAAACGTTTCGGTAGAATTAAAAGAAGATATTGTCGATGGCCTCAGACAGAAATTTCTTATTCTATGCAAAGGAGCAGGTCTGGTATTAGTTATCTGCGTGGGCAACCAAGCTAAATATAGGTTCAGGAACAATGAAGTGTAATGGGGCAGAAAATGTTTGAAAGGTTTACATTTAAAGAACTTTGAAATTTAAATGTGAAAATGACTGTTTAACACATAATGTCTGAATATATATGTCAGGTATAATCACTGTTATTCACAGGTCCTACTGATGGTAAAACAGAGGTGTCATGTCGTCATGCCTTCCTGTTCACCTTGGTAAACCCAAGTGGCCTGGGACCGACCAAACTGTCGCTCATCTCTAGGAAGGAAGAGCAAGGCATCCTTTGTAACAGCAAATGTGGACCAGTGTTTGGTAATCGGATTGGTTGTCATGACCTATGTATAACAGATGCTGGTAGTTACGGTAGCAGCAACCTCGGCAATGCCTATCAGTGCCCACCAGGACAAAAGAGCACGCTCTTCACAGGTGAAGAGAGATTCCGTGTTGCAGATTACGAGGTGTTTGGACTCTGCCAGTGACAACTACCAAGCAGGTGAAATAAACTCTTACAGCTAAAACACTGGATACTTTATCTAAATGTTATAACAAAGGTATTTAATGCGTCATTAGGGGTGCTAGGTACTCAGGAGAAATGTGTTTCTTCAGGCTCCTGGTTTCTTTGATATTGCTCTGCCGCTTTAATTTAAGAGAGGTGCAAAGAGGAGCCAAATCAGAGCCGTAAATTAACTTGGCTTATCTCTTTTTAAATAGGAGCTGATTTAAGAATATTTAAAGTTTCTCAGAGAGAAATATTTACCTTGACTTGTCTCCCAGAGTGCGACGTTTTGCAGTAAAAACCTCAACAATCTAGCGTTTATTCACTGTAATTTTCAGGGAGTTATAATAGCTCCTCTAGTGGGGCTAATTTAACTCCTGACAGTGGAGTTATTTTTCGTGGAGTTATTTTAACTCCAAAAAGTAGTTTAAAGAACTCTTTTTCAGGAGTAAAAGTGACCCCAGATATTGAGGAGTTAAAATAACCCCCAAAAAGGAGTTATCCTGTACCTAAAATTTTTACTCCACTTTCAGAGTTAAATTAACTCCAAAAAGAGTAAAAACAACCCATGTAAGGAGTACAAGTAACCCCATTTCGGAGTAATTTTAACTCCAGACTGGGAGTAAAAAGAACTCTTTTTCAGGAGTAAAAATGACCCCAAATTCGGAGTTAAATTAGGAGTTAAAATAACCCCAAAAAAGGGGTTATCCTGTACCTAAAATTTTTACTCCATTTTTGGAGTTATAATAACTCCCTAAAAATTACGGTGTTCCCATTACTTCTTGAAAGCGTTGACTCTCTTCATGAAGAAGACTCTCGGGACGTTTTACCATGTCACTGCAGGCGCTGTGTTTTGTTGTCGTTGTTAAACTGAAAAAGAAATAAAGGTGAATGTGTCAGTTGTTTGGTTCGAGATGGGACTGCATCCTGAGATGCTCTAAAAAGAGCCTTTTCATCCGCCTTTCGTTTGGCTTTGCGACCGACTGAGTGGACTTAAAAAGGCCGCGCATCATTTTGTTACTGACTCACGGTCTTGTATGTTTCTTTCCAGCTCTACAAGGCCAGTATAAAAGAAATGATAACTGAAAACTCCATTTACCGAATACCTTATGAGTACATCCTATATGCTCATCTCTGATTCAGTTAGTTTCAGACACGATGCCATTCTTCCTGAAAATGGATGTAATACAGTGTCCTTCATTAACCTCATAAAGTCTGTTAAATTATGCTTAACGGTTAATTTGCGCATTCTCGCTGCAAGGTTGGTAGGGGCTTGTTTGACTTTTCTAAATATTTGTCTTCTTTTTAATTGCAGATGAACTTCAGTTCATCAGTGTACATGAGCACGAAAGTAGCGGTGGATTCATGTAAGAACCACTCTCAACATTTTCTTTTACTGGCACATGGTGCCTTTGATTGTTAGTATGGTGACGATCTAGACTGAATATTAAACTGCGATCCAGTGGTTTATTAGAATTTAGAACTGATCATATGATAATCTAGTTTTGTAAGTCAATTGTTGGTTTTCACATGACGTCACTAAAATTCAAACTAAAAAACTATCGATCCTACCGGGATTTTACTTTCACGATGCATTAGAGCAGCTGAAAACTAATTTTCATAGAAATTTTCGCTTCAAAAGGGTTCTTGGTTTTGTGATAGAGTACGCTTGAATTTCTAAGCTTTTGCGTGACGCGGCATTTACATGACGACCAAGAGAGCTGTCATGTAGGTTAAAAAAATGACTTATTTCAGGAAATTTTGCTATTTAAACAGTTCATGTATTAGAAAAAGTATTACTTTAATGTTTATGAGTTTCTCGAAGAATAAATTCACGCTTTTCTAGCAAACTCGGCAACAGATGTTTCTGTTGGTTTCCGTCCGCCATGTTGGAGCTCATCCAGGCGAGCACCAGCATGGCGTAAACAAAAAAATCTCTATAAGTAAAACATTTCTTCGGATATCTCGTATACGAAATATTCCTCTGACCTGAATCTTGGCAAGGGTCTTTGTATATGTACGTACCTCCTTTCATTTCCTAGATTCTGGACTTTATCTATTGAACGGTTTTGATTTTTATTTTGATCTATTTTGAATGGTGTGACACTGAAAACCAGCAATGGTACCTGTATGATCTAGCCACCTGTAAAGAAAAAAGGAAGAAAGAGGAAACTAAGTGACGGTCGGTTATAGCCACTGAAATGACCTAAAGTGAGAGCACAACACGTGGTAAACCTATTTAAACACAACCCAACAATAAGCGTGATGAACACGCCTGAATGCAGTACGCATTACGTAACCTCCATTCGCACGCATAATTCCCAACGCACCGAGCATAAATACATTTATAAGACAGTTTACGGTATTCAAGCGTCTGATCCATGATCCCTTAAGTTTCGTCACCAGACACTGCTGCCACGCAGGCTAAGCAGACTGAAAGCCGAGAATTTATCTTAGATCCAAGAAATCCTTTAACAAACAAAGGTGATCCAGCATGTTGACCCCACATGTTGTTACTGCTGAGGGTGTCTGAATGCCTGCACATGCTTTTTATTCAGAATAAAGGGAGATGAAAGAAATGCTTAACGTAAGTTCTTTATTCTCTGAAAAATTTTGTTGAGGTCTCTTTATTTTAACTTGTACTGCTCTTTGACACCTTTTTTCACGTCTGTCCTAAAGTTTCTTCTTTGAATGATAACGAGCTCATCTGATCAGACGCTTGAATACCGTGAACTGTCGCTTATGAGTCCTGGGCTTATACATCTTTGTAAGCGGTTTTAGTATATCTTAAGAGGGTTTATAAACGAAGGGGCTTATCTACGAGAGATTCCGAGGGGGGCTTATAATCAGACTAGGAGAAAAAGCGTTTCGAAACAAGCTATTGCAGTGCTGATCGAAATACCTTTTGCATTTCAGTACTGGTTTTTAATAAGCTTCAAAAAGTCAGGATAAATCGAATTAATTCCAACACATTTGAAGGGGGCCTATATCCTAAGGAGCTTACAATCGAATACCGTAAAATTCCGAAAATAAGCCCCGGGGCTTACATTTTTTTAAAGGCCTTTTTTGAGGGGCTTACATTCGGGGGTCCTTATCTACGAAGGGAAATTTGCGTTTCAAAATCGATTGGGCTAGCTTATAGTTGGAAGGAATTTACCGTTTTTGCTTTGTTTTACTTGGTATTTGAGGCCAATTTCCAAGTACAAGCCCCCGGAGGACTTATATTTGAAACGAAGGGTTTTTTGTGTTAAGAGTTTGGGAGGCTTATATTTGGAGGGGCTTATACATGGAGGGGCTTATTTTCGGAATTTTACGGTATATTTTTTGTTTACAGGCAGATGGGTCTGGAGCTACTAAATAGGCGTCGACAGACAGTGTGCTCGTAAAAGTAGCATAATATGCTGCTAGTAGTGCTCGTACATTTCTAGAATTATGCCAATAATTACGCTAGTTTTTGTAAATTTATAGCAACCTGCAAAATGATGCAGCAGTGCAACCAGTACTTGAAGGTAGTAACCAAGCCTGTGAATCTGTTAAATCTTTAATAAAACGCGAAAACTTCTCAAAACTGTTATGAAAATATTAGCCTGTTCCAGGCTCCGAGATGGTGTTGGAAAGTCGTTCAGTAAAAAGAAATGCGAAAAACGCGCGGTGGCTGGGGAGAGACAGGGCGCCACCGCCCCCTTTCCCAAGTCGTGCGCGTCTTATTTTCGCTTTGCTCGTCTTAATACGTTCCCACTATACTATCTGAGAGCCTGGCACAGGCTATGGAAATACTAGCTTTCTCTTTATGGTGAAAAAATGCCCATTGTGCCGACATTATGCTCGATGCTCCGACTATAGCATTATGCCCAGAATTATGGCAACATAATTATTTATCTAACCCTACCTATGTTACCGCACAAATCAGGTTCAGAATAAGGTCCTTGAACAGGTTTGTCTTTCTCTTCTAAGGGCACATACGGAAAGAAGATCAAAGGGCCTCTGCTTGAAGGGTAAACGGGGTAAAGGGTACAAAGGATCATTTTTTTTAAAAATCAGAAATAGCAAAGTTCAAAAATTTTACAAGATCGAGAAGTATGTTGGCCTACCTTTGCACCAAAAACGTAAGGTTCGTAAATAATGGGTGACAAAAACGAAAACTCTTCGGAAAAATTCTATCATGTCTCCGAGGCTTTCTGGTCATTTTTCTATATTTGGTTTGGTTTTCTTAGTACCTAAGTCTCTCCTGGGAATTGCGAGATAAATTTGCAAGTTTGAACGGCCCTAAAGCTTCGGAGTCATGTTAGAATTGTGGGCTATGGTGCTTGGGGTACCTGTGAGCTGAAAAAATTTGATTGGCTGGAATTTGTTTGCGTCCGATGTTCCGCTAGCGTCGCGTGCCAAGCTCGGGGAATGACGAGCCAACGAGATCCGTCCCGGGCGAAATACCTTGTTTATTTCCGATAGATTTTTGGCGAGAGTATAGTCAAGGCTTTGTTGTCCTACGATGGCAAATTCAGGAGATGATCAGGAGTTACAGAACGAAACAACGGTAAGATTGATGGCTTTATCTCTCAGTGAAAAAGCTTTTGTTGTCGTTTCCGCGATTGTACTTGGCACGACCGCGGAGAACACATATTCGATTCGGCCATGGCCATTCGGTCAAAGCTAAGACTTTTTCATGTTATCCTTTCTTCAGGAGTCACCAGGTAGAAGAAAGGGAAGAGGACTAAAAAGAAATATAACGAAATCGGCCACACAGGTATTGTAGGTGTTCTCTACTTTTGTGGAATCGCGATGTTTTTGCTGCGACCGAGGCGCGGCTCTACTTTCATGTAGCACGCAATAAAATCGCGCCTTCGAAAGTGTCGAAAGTCAGCAATGCTTTGGACAGTTAAAAGTTAAAAGCAGCCCTTAAAATTAATTCTTGTAATCAAAACACAATAAAATAATTCTGGGAGATATTGTAATACACCTGTGGAAGGCGTAGTGCCGCCATATTGTCAAATAAAATGTTCCGTTAAAATTTTTCATTTCTTCTCGTATAAGGCAAGCTGGAGCGGGGCCCACTAATGTTACAACTAATGAACTTGCAGCCCAAGAGATGCCCCCACAGACAGTAACAAGGGGGGAATGACTGTTCCTGCGATGCATTAGGGGTCCACACCATGGCTGCCTTATATCATCATAAATCCTAGTTCACACTCTCTTCTGTCCTTTTGGAAAAGCATGCTTACAAGTCAGCCTTGTGATTTCCTATAAATAAACAAATAAATAAATAAATTGCTTTTTTACCCACAAAGCACTTAAGAGTTCATATGAACTCGTTTAAACGTGTCCGTGTGTTCCAGATCGAATTGGAATTTGGAAGTGTCGGTTTTTGAGGAGAGGGGAAAACCGGAGTACCCGGAGAAAAACCTCTTGGAACAAGGGAGAGAACCAACAACAAACTCAACCCACATATGGCGTCGACGCCGGGATTTGAACCCGGGCCACATTGGTGGAAGGCAAGTGCTCTCACCACTGCGCCACCCTTGCCCTATATATGCATATGAATGCATTGCATTTCTTCTACAACTAACATAGCTTTTTTCCTTCTTAATGCACTTGTAGCCTAAGAATGCAAAGAAGGCAAAACCATCGGTAAGTTTGATTTTGTTTTAATGTTAAGTTGTTAATCAGTTATTGGCACTCCCCCAAAATATCTCTACTGTCGCATGCTTAAACCACACTGCTCCTTGGATCTGTTTCTTGAAATTCCTGGAAGTTACCCTGCAGGTAATGCTCTTTTGTTTACTTTCAAGGTTAAGGTTTCAAACATTTTATCCAAACAAAATGAAGTGGTTTCTTAGCTAGGTCTTGCACTTTTATCCTTAAGATTTTGATTTTAATATCTGGCTTCAGGCCCAAAAAAAGCTTATGGTACTTTCCAGAAATGGGCCCCTGGTCTGGAATGGGGTGTTTTTACTCAATACTTTTCTTGTAACAGGGAAAAATAGTTTGAATGCCTATAAAAACTTTCCAATGTTAATTTTATTAGCAACAAAATAAATAACTAGTCCCAAGAATGGGTATTGAAAACTGGCTATTTCTGTGGCAAAATCTTGCTAGAATGAGGCCAAACTTTACAGGTTAGCCAATTAATTTTCACTATAATACTTAAAAAAGGTGGATAAAACAGTAGACCAGCTGGAATAGGGGCCCAACTTCAGCTGGTGAGTCAGGTTTTTATTGCATTTAATACAGTGGAAGCTCTCGTAAGCGGAGACCATCAGGACACAAAAAAGGTGTCCCTTCGTAACTGGGGCTGTGCAGAGTTTGTGTGGGAGTTGAGAAAAATGGCGTTTTGTGAAGGTGGCCGTAAGTAGAGCTTTTCGCTTACGAGTGTCTGTTAGAAGAGCTTCCACTGTATTTAACAATAATTATTAGATTACCCATTTTGTTTGTGTTTTTTGTTTTTTATTGTACACTTCAAGTTAAATTTTAATATGATTTCAATATGTGCAGAGCACTACGAGTAATGAACTTTCAGCCCAGCAGATGCCCCTGCAGACAGCATCTCATCAACCATTGCAAGCATTAATACAGCCTACCTTACCAGTTCTGCAGTATCCGCATTCAGTGCTGCAACCTCCCCAGACTGGGTTGCAGCCCTCTCAAGCAGTACCCCAGTCTCAGCCTGTTCAAGTTGTTGCCCATCCTGGTGATGGCAGCACTCCAATCCCAACATTTGTCCAATATACCATGCCTCCAAATATCTTTACTTCACCAGTGATGAACTGTACAAATCAGCCTCTTGTTCAATCAGCTGTTCCAACATCTTTGTCAGTGCTAAATGCCCTTAATGACGACAAACTAGGGATTATCTTACCTGTATTGGTCAGGATGGAACACAAAATTGATCAGCTTATGGCAATGATGGGGGCCAACAATCAGGCAACTGGAAATAACTTAAGTGCTGCCGTGTCATCTGGAGTACAGAATACTGTGAGTGGACAGGTGAATAATGCATCAAGTACATCTCAGTCTAATGCTGCTAAAACCCAGACAAGCAGTTCATCTACAGGAGGTAATATCCAAGCAAATGCAAGGGCAACAGTGGCACGGCTGTTTGATACCCAAGTAGAAGGTGAGGAAGAATCCGAACAGATTGCCACTGATAAAGGAGTAAATGAATCAGTAGCAATTCGTGGAATGACTTCGCGACAGCGCATCCAACTTGAAATGGCCAAGATAACAGAAAAGACCTTGCCTGAAGACTTAAACTTTCCTTTATCACGTGATGACCTTATTGCTTTGCAAGCAAAATCTACTTCGACAATGAATTTTGCTGTGCGACTGTTACGTGAAATGTTCACACGAGAAGAACTTCTGGGTAGAAATCTTTCAGGTGTGCGTGGGAAAGAGAGAGTTGATCCTGCCAGAGTTGAAATCATCAAGGAAATTGTGTTTAAAATTTATCGGACATCACCATCAGATAGGGAACTATTGTGGAGATACTGCCGTAAAGCAATGGATTCATTTTTGAGAAAAATGCAAAGGCCAGTTGAAGTTGTAAAGGATCAGTATGATTCTCCTTCCTTTTTAGCAACAGATAAAACCTTGAGTGGGCAATCTAATGTAACTCCTGAATCTGAGGAAAATGAAGAGACATCACCCTGATCATCTTTTTTCTGGAATTTTTCTTGAAGGAAATGTTTAATGTTTGAATGGTTTTGTGGAAAAATTGTCATGCACTTGAACAGTCCAGTACTGTTCAGAACGGTTATTACATGGTAAACAAAACTTTTTTTTATTTTGCACTTTCTAATTTTCAGTTTTTTAATGGTTTTAATGTTAATGTTACTCAAAGAAATGGAATTAGCCAATTATTCTTCAATATTTTTGTGTTTCTTGTATGAAAGTACTATAAAGTAAAGTTCCTGCATGATTAATGCCCAAGTGGAGGTATGATGTTATGTATGAAACTAGTCTGACACGGCTGGCAATAATTATAATAAAAAATTAATTTTGTAGATTACAGAATTACCAGTATTTATACTACTACAGGAGAAATTTCTCCAATTTGATTGGCTTAAAGCAGTGTTTTTCAGCTTAACTGGAAATACCTACATGTGAAAATTACAAACCTTTGGTGGGTAGTAGTATAAACAAACATTAGTATGATTTGTACTAGATATTTGGCATAAATACCACTTGTGATATTTCAAAATTGTCTCAAATTTCACTCGCCTAACGGCTTGTGGAATTACATATAACAGTTTCAAAATATCACTCGTGGTATTTATGCCAAATAGCACTACAAATCATGCTATTACCTATACTTATACTACTATCTACGTGAGAAATTTCTGCAATTTGATTGGCTTAGAGCAGTGGTATTTCAGCTTAATTAACCTTTTGCGGGTGGTAGTATAAACAAATAATAGCATAATTTGTACATGATATTTGGCATAAATACCACTTGTGATATTTCAAAATTGTCTCAAATTTCACTCGCCTAAGGGCTCATGAAATTACCTACAACAATTTTGAAATATCACTCGTGGTATTTATGCCAAATATCACTACAAATCATCCTATTACCTATACTAATTTAAATGTTTCTACTTTTGTACAGTATTCAATTTGTAGCGTTCCAAAAGATATGTGGGCAAGACGTTAGCCTCAAATAAAATTAAACAATCTGGTAAGCTGCCTGCATGTGACAATTTGAATTCATGTGCAGTATTAAAATAACACACACGGTTGAAGGGAAGAGTGGCGTAAGGTCCCAGGGTGTCTGCTGATCACCCTGGGTACTTATTCCACACTTATGATTTAACTCACAAACACATACAAGCAAACTGGAGGGCAGTCACCTTGGCAACTGCTTGGGCCAGAGTCACGCAATGCTCCCCACCCCTGCATGGAGAGTGTTGCATGACTGTGGCCCGACCAGCTGCGAAGGTGACTAACTGAAAGGAAAATCTAACTCTTTTTTAGAATTCACTTGAGGCTCTTTCCTGGTCACCTCGTTAAATTGTAAAATGATTATTCTCGCTTTGTTCATAGCTAAGGAATGGATAAGAACAGAAAGGTGAACATTAATGGAGATTCTTTTAAATAGCCAGAAATAATTAGAATGATATTCCAATGAGTGAGATACAGGGCCGATTTGCAAGAAGGGGAAATAAAGGTATTTTCCTCTTGAAAGGAAACGCTTTTCTTGGCTTTCATGTCACCTCAGCGAGCAGCTTTTTTCCCCTGCGGTCTCCGTTTCAGTCCACTCTCCACAAAAAAAAGTTCATGAAATGAAGTCTCTTCTCTTAAAAACAGGGCAGTGAAATGAGCGATTTTGCCTTGAACAGGGTCCCGGTTTGAAGGTCTCGGGGGCGTGACACCTCTCCTCAAACTTGCTCTGTGAGCCCTTTTCCCCTCCCCACCCCCATCCCGGGAGCGGACAGTTCGAAGTTTCGCCAATACTGCCTTCTTCAGGGATGACAAATCAGCCTAACTGGAGAATATAGTATCCTTAATCAAACAAATTTTCCTATTTGGACTGGCTATCGATTGGACCCTTAAGCGTCCCAGGCACATTCGTTCACAGAAGTGAGCCGCGAAAGAACCCAGTTTGCTATTTAAAGAGAATTTGCAGTGTACCGTATATGGACGTTTGAAGGCGTTTGATTTAGCGAATTAGTAGCCTGCGTTGCAGAAGCCCTTCTATCTCCCTTTTCAGCTCCCTTCCTTTGTCGTTTCCACGCATGCTACGAAGAATGGCGAATTGGTGTTGGACCTAAAAAAATCTCTTCTTTTTTTCACCGTTTAAAAAGAGAGAAAGAGAACGCGCGAGGACGAGGGAAATTTCCCGCCAGTTTTATGACGAGATGAAGGCGTGGTCTCGTCTGAAGTCGGTTTTCTGTGCGCTTTTGCGTGTTTTGTTGGCCTTCAGTGCTGCTATAGCTAGTTGATGAGAGAGACAAAGGATCACTTGTGCTGAACTCAACGAAGCAGTTTCATATTCTAATGTACACTCTAGCGGTCGTTGAGATAATAATCAGGAAGAACCCTTGTAAAGGTTGTCAAAATAATGACTCGGACCAATCCGTTTTTTTCTTTTTCATTTTTGATCTGAAACCTATAATTTGAAACTGGAATATTTAGGATTGCTGCTTTTTAATTAAGCTGGAATCTAAAGAAGTTCCAATTTTGGGTGTATGTGTTGCACTAGGTATAGACTTAAATATGAAATAGAGAATTGAGAGGAGTAAGTAACATTTTCTCCCATATACGCACGTGCGCCCGTGCGTACAGCTGAAATCTGGAATATATATATATTCTTTATTTTTTGAAAGCATTTTTATCATTAAATCAGGATTATTGAAAAATCTTTCGCATTATATTGGTGTCTTTACCCGTCTGAAGGGTAGACGTCTCACCCTTTGCTTGCATTAAACCTCCTTGATTACCTCCGTAAACATTGCACCTTACAGATGTATATTAAACAACTAACTATTGCATTTCCCTTCGTATTAAATTACTGAAAATGTCCTGCGGAAAATGCAGTAAATGGCATTTCAGAGCCCTTATTAAAATTTGAAAAATTTTTAAAATTTTCTTTCTGTGCGTGCGCACGTACACCTTCAAACCCTCACGCTACCCCCCTGAAACAGGTTGTAAGTAGCTTCCCTAGTTTCAGACCACCTGGCAAGCAACCCTATTTTTTTTTTTTCGATTTTAAAAATGAACTTCTTTGAGTTTGTCAGTGGAAGGTTCTTCTTCCCGCCAAAGAAAAAGAGCTGAAAACGAGAAATAAAAAATACAAATTGCTAACATTTGGGCTTCGAGCGCTTTTTTACGCGTTTAATGTGTGCATTCGATTATGGCGCAGATCATGAGAGTACATTTGACGCCAAATTCGATAAAAACGCGGAACGCTCCCCGTAATTTATAAACGTAAAGCTAACGTAAATTTTGACTTTTTTTTGACATCGTTTACCAGAATAAATTGGTGCGTTTTTAACGAATAGGGGTCGGTGTGAGTTGCAGTTTATAATAAAGAGTTTTCGACCCTCGCCCCTGAGAAACACAAAGTTTGGTGAGCCTGTTTTGAAATGCAAATGCCTAAAAAAGCCGAATACACACGGTGTTAGGTGATTGGCTGTTTAGAAATGAGCGTCAATGAGCGTCACATCGCTGGTGTCAGCTTACACGAACGAAACTCGAACGCGTTCTTTCACCTGCAACAATAGCTCAAACGCTGTAACTTCATTTTGTCGTAGTATGTCGGATTCAGGCGTCGAGCAAGAAATCAGATGTGATGCAACGGTGAGTCTAAGGTTTTGATCGGCGATTTAATAAGAAAAATCACCTAGCTTTCATTGAAATGTATTGGGGAAATGTGTTCTGTAGAGCACTGCGGAGAAAGACAGCTGAACGCGTTCGCTGGCCGCAGCATGCATCTGACACCACATGATATGATTTTACAGACATTCCGTTTGTTCGTTAGGTTGATCCTAAGAAGAAAGGAAAACCGAGGAAAGGGAGGCCAAGGAAAGCACTCGTACAGGTTTGCCTTCTTTACCACCTTCACCGTCCGGTGGCTATTTTGTGTTGTTTTACTTTCAATCGCGATTCGCCGTCGCGTTGAAAATGTAGAACGGTGCATTTTAGTAAACAGGGTGACTTTGATGTGTATTTTTTCAGTGACACTAGCACGAGCGGCTAAATTATTATTTTTGTTTTCTGTATGATTGTTGACAATCGGATGATGTAATTTAGCACATGTATACACATGGTTTCGGTTTCAACTAATAAACGCAAACCGCCTTTCACTTTACCTATAAAGCGTATAACATCTGCAGAGAATTACTCTCAATAAAATCATTTGTTGTTTGCATAGAAGAATATAAAAGTGGTAAAAAGAAGTAGTGACGGCCTTAAATTAAACGAGCTGTTTCTGAACTACGGAATATTATTATAAATTCAAGTGATTTGGTATAATGTTTTTACAACTTCAGAGCACAGTTTAATGAGGCCCTGCCGGGGGGGGTGTCCCATGTCGCCCGTCTGAATTTTAAAACGTCTCGTGTCGGTGTTTATAAATGCTTGTCGCTTATTGTCGGCTTTGCCGTCACTGTCACAATTTGGCCGAGGGAGGTTGTCTCTTGTCGCGATTTCATTTTACGCACTGTCGCTACACAGTCGGGGAGCCGATTAGTACCATTTTTTTTATGCCAATCGGTTCCTGACAGTCAAACCTCTTAATAAAGACACGTACAGCACAAATATTAATGCTCAGCAAAGTGTCGATCTGTACATAGAGATTGGCTGTTTCAAGGAGGGTGACCCCCATGACCAGGTTTATGCTAAAGCTCAGAACTATGGGATTTCCATAATTTGGAAAATAATACTGCATAAAAATTATGTAGTGTTATTTTCTTACCATATACCAGACATAACTTATCGATGACATTAATGACATCAATGAATGAGTTATCAATAGCTGGTAATTGATGGGTAATCAGTTGATTATTAGGCATTGATTATATCCATTATTCAATGAGTCATCGACAGATAATCGATAGGCCACAACATTTTCATTCATCGATTCAGTCATTGACTGATTTTTTATTTATCGATTTAATCTCATGGGTATGCATTTAAAACCATGCCAAATTGAAAATAAAGAAACAAAAACTTCTTTGACATAAATATCCTGATACAAGCTTTATTTATTCATGATTTTTTACCCGGTAGACCCTCTGCGGTGGGTGCATTTCCCAACAAAGGCACAGACTCTAATAGCCAAGAGATCAGAATATGACAGATAACTCAACCTTCTGAACATTTCATTTCTGATATTTCAGTTACTGTCCATTAAACCTACATACATCGGTTTTCTACATGCAACTTCAGTTCCGATTTGGCTATTATTATGGTCAAGAACCATTTAACGTAAATTTTTATCACAGGAGATAAGTTAGAAAAAAGATTGCTAGAATTGTGTGAGATGTGTAGTCGATGACTAATCAATGGATAATCATTAGATCATCAACCAGTAATCGAACGCATCAATTATTCATCAATGACATCAATGAGTAATCATGCAAAAAAAAATTCAATGTCCTTGATGAGTAATCGATAGGCCACAAAATTTTTGGCCATCAATTAGTCATTGATTGCAGGTTATAGCAAATAATCTGCAATGACTAATCAGTTGATTACCCAATGATTACTCATTGATAACTCATTGATGTCATTCATCATCGATTAGTTATGGTACATCTGGTACTTATCACGACACAATAAATAACCCTCTAATTGACCAAATGTTACAATATTATTATAATAATAGAGGGCTGAAAGTAACTGTATTGTTCTATGTTGTATGGGCCCATAGGACCCCAATTTATTGGCCAATTCCTAGCATACTTCCTCGAATAATAGCTGTCCCTCGATTAATCTCCTCTCTCAAATAATTGCCCTCCTTTAACAGAAATATTTAAAATAATCGCATTCCTCAAGTTATCGCCCTCTCCAACCCCTATCGCCTTCTTCTGCAATCTGATCCAACAAAATTGATTGGTAAATCAAGCTCTGATGCCAAGGATATTGACATTGAAAATTGATCAGCGAACCAAATTTGGAACACTTTAAAAGCCTGTTTCAAGGTCATGTTCACAGAGCAATATTTGAAAATAATAATGCCTCCCTCAAATAATCGCGTCTGTATTAACTTAGCCTTAACTACAAGCATCCACTGTGGGAGAACTTCCTGTAATGGCCTATACATGGACGAACGGCCTAAAAATGGCATGTATTTTAGGCTTTGGGTGTAAAAGAGTTTGGGTATCGGGAAATCTGTCATCTAGGTAAATGGCCTTTATAATGACAAGATATTTTGAGCCTTTGGCTCCTTACAGTTGTATATAGCTGTAACATTTTTAGTTTGATACTCTCCTATAGTATAATTCATTAATGAGCTTATTTCATTCCAAGGGTTTAGAAAAGGGATGCAGTGTTCTTAATTTTTAGTTAAAAATAATAAATAAATAATCAGATATAAAATGAATCAAGAAATAGATAAATTGTAAGGATTTGACGGTTTTACATCCACATACTGGTTCTAATTCATCTGCCATTCCTGATCAAATTGGAGTCAGAATTTTAGACTTCAAGAAAATGGGAAAACGGGACTACCAGGAGAAAAATGTCTTGCAACGGAAAGGAAACCAACAACAAAATCAACCCACAATTAAAGCACTGCCCCACCCTTTCTCTTCAAGGGAGAAAGGGGTACCATTTTTCAGTGGAAGGTGTTTGAAAGGGCATCTCTATTAAAGTTTCTTTGCTACTATTATTGTCCTTTGCTTGATAAACACTGCCACAACCGTAATTTGTAAAGTGTAGTCACTCTCTTTTAAAAATATAATATCTGAAGGAAAGCAGAAAACTTGGTATATAAACAAGGTCAAACCCAGTGCATGTTTAATTTACTCAAAGGCTAGCTAGGGTACTACCCTGTATACATGTATTAATTATTTAGGTGAACTGTAGCCTGCGCGCAGACGAAATTAAACTCTGGTTAACTCCATCTGCGAAACAGCGCCGAAATCCTTGTTCTGGACTTCCAGCTGTGTACCCAGATTTGAGTACGCGCCACGATTGGCCAGTTAAAAAAGGCCTTTGTTTTGTTTGTCGTAATCGCCAATCAGGTTGAAGGGGAATTCGAAATGCACTTCCGGTAATTCGTTGAGTCCGTTGGGGGTCCAGAACAAGGATCTCTGCGCTGCTTCGCAGACGGTACTAATCAGAGTTTAGTTATCGTCTGCACGCAGGCTAGGTGAACTGGTGCAACTGTAAAATGGTTACACCAAAGATTTTGGTGAGCAAAGGATAGACATTCACTCCATACATAATGTGATTACAGTATATTTTATTATTTCTTAGGCAAGTGACATACCTACCACTCAGCTGTTAATGCCCCCCACAGCTGTACAAGCACCTTCACAGACAGTACCTCAAGGTGCACAGACAGTGGTGCAACCTTTACAAACCTTGTACCAGCCTCTTCAAGCAGTGCTTCATCCTCAGCAAACAATTCTTTCTCCTCCACAACCAATGGCCCAGCCACCACAAACTGTACCCCATCCCCCACATACACTTCAGCCACAGCAGGCTCCACAGGTGCTGCTGCAGCCACCTCAAACAGTTCTTCAGCCTCCACCAGCTATACTTCAGCCTCCACAGGCAGTACTTCAGCATCCATCGGTACTCGTCCCTCAACCACCCAAGCCTGGTTTAAGTGAGAACAACCCACCACCTTCTTCATTTGTCCAATTTTCTGCATTTCCAAACACCTTTTCATCTCCAGTGTTGAACAGTGCCCTACAAGCACCCATTCAGCAGGCCGTTCCGACTACCATGGCAAATACTAATTCCCAGACATCCACCATGAGCTTGCTTAATGCTCTGCATGATGAAAAGTTAGGTTTGCTCTTGCCTGTAATTGTGAGAATGGAACACAAAATGGATCAACTCATGGCTATGATGGGTCAAATGGGAAGCCAACTAAATTCCATTATCATGGGAAACCAATCAAATGTTTCGTTGACTGGACGACATGCAAATACGGGGATTATGGGAAGCCAATCAAATGCTCCAGTGGTGGGAAACCAGTCAAATGCCGCTACGGTAGGAAAACAATCAAATGCGGTAGTGATGGGAAAACAATCAAATGCTGAAGTGGTGAGGAACCAATCAAATGTCGCCATAACATGGAGCCAATCAGATGGGACTACAACCGGGAACCAACCAAATACTGCTATGTTTGGTAGCCAATCAAATGCCACAGTGGCGGGAACTCAAAATAGTACTGCATTGAATATTAATAACCCAGTGAACAGTCATTTAGGGTCAAATAATAATGTGGACCTAACTCCATCAAATGCACGACAGGCTAACTCTGTAACTATCGAGGCGCAGGCAATTTACACGACGGATGGACCTCAATCAAATGTTCCTAGCAACGAAACATCGAGCGTCTTAAATGAATCGCCTACTCACATACAGACCAGAAGTCAACGAAACAAAGACAAAAGTAGCAATGAGCGAGTTGTTACGGGTAGTTCAAATTTACCAGCCTTTTACATGTCAAAGGAATATCTCACGGCTTTGAAAACAAAATCCACCTCCGCTAAGAATTTCGCCGTGCGGCTAATGCGAGAGCTGTTTACGAAGGTGGAACTTGAGGGAAAGAATATTTCAGGATCCCGAGGGAAAGATCAAGTAGATCCCGAAAGAATAAAAACGATTAAAGAACTTGTCTTTAAGATGTACAACACGTTACCCGAGGACATGGATTTAGAATGGAGAAACTGTCGGAAAGCTATGGACTCGTTTTTGCGCTCCAAGAAGCATAGAGAACTTGGAGAACAGCGCGCGCAACAAAATGCTGAATTGTTGAACTCGTTGTCGATGGGTACTCTTAACAGCGAGCAGACTGACGAGTAATGGGTATTGTTATTTTTTACCAACCCTTTTTATCCCTAATACTGATCATGCGTCTTGTTTCTCCTTATAATACCATTGCTCAATTATGCAAAAAGGTTATGAGAAGACAAAAATCGCCAAAGAAGAAGTATTTTAGTTTTAGGCAAAATCTCTTCTTCAATACCACAAGAAATGTTTAGAGAACAGTTTGATAATGTATGCTTGCATTACGGTTTAAAGGGTTGTTAATCCTCTAATGAGCGCAGCCATACACTAAGTTAAAAAAAATATCCGCGATACTTCTTTTTCCGGTATTTTAGGTGAGCTGCTTGTTTCAAGTTTTCCGCTTCATACAGGTTCGTTTTCCACCAAGAAAATATAGGAATAAAAATCTACGTCCGTTTCCGCATAATATAGAGAGAGATCGTAATAGGACATGATCTCTTGACAGAGACTAATTTCCCAACAAAATAAATTGCTGACTTTTGACCGAAGTAAACTTCCGCTGTTACAGATCAGACTCTCGCTATCTTGGCCGCTAACTCGAGGCTCCGAGGGCGTCCATAACATACGGAGGGTTCCTAACTTTACTACGCCTATTCTGAAAGTCCTTTCAGATATAATTTTTTCACAGTGAAACCTATATTAAGGGCGCACCTTATTAAGTCGACACAAACGGCAGTGAGTCATAAAGGTCCATAAACGAGCAAGACTTCCAATATTTTCTGGAAGACCAACCTTTATTTAGCGTATGCCAAGCATGGCTAGCGTGGGTATCTGCTTAAAAAAGGTTTCCTGTGTAAGAACATCATAAGCATTTTTTTACTCCACGAAAAGGAGCATTCAGTTTTGCGTATTGATTACGAGTTTAATTTTTGAAACCTTCTTCGTTGTTTGTTACGTTAATCTTATCCAAAAAACTCTTTAAGACTAGCTGGTTAGGGAGAGTCAAGTGTTGCAACCCACTTAATCTTATACTAGTTTTCGCTGTTGTGTAAGGGTTCATGACACAACCTTCGTTTTATTTTTAGCCTCATTGAACTCTTTCCTATAATATTGAACTTGTTCAGTTGGGTCATTCATTGCAAATTTTTATTGTAACTAAAATCAGGAATAGTTTCAATAAAAATATTCGTTGTTTCCCATTTGTCTGGCTAGCCATCTGTAAGAATTAACTTGGAAGTGGAGAAAGCTTTGCTGTGTGTTATAGCCCCCCAAAGAAAAGTATGTGATATAAAATCTTTTCCTTCTACCTTGGCCTAAAAATTTTCCCGCGTTTGATAATTTCCCAACATTATTATTGTTTCTTACGCAAAACACGTCATCAATCCCCCCCTAGCTGGTGTTTGACAATTCAATTCAATTCTTTATTTCGCACTATATAAGATATTTACATAAGTGTACGGAGGGAGGAAAATAAAGCAACTGATAAATAACAATTAACTAAAAGACATTAAGTTCATTTGTGTACAGTGTCAAAAATAGCAAGAGCTTTCTTGTTGGACACCGTCATGTGGAAATAATTGACAGCAGTAAAGAGAGGAATAAAATCTCAGATAATATCGGTGATAAAACATATGAACAAGGTCAGATTTGGTTGGTTAGAAGACAGGACTTCCATTCTTTCTTAAACTTATGATATGGCAGACACTTGAGACCAGGCGGTACAGTCTCCCAGAATTTTGGACCGGAGAATTTAAAGGACGTCTTACCTAAGTTGGTGGATACCCTTGGCCTAAAATAGTTCAGATTACTGACAAATCTTGTATTATGATTGTGTATACGCGATGCTGGAGTCAGGACATCAAGGAAAATATCTGGAATGAATGACAAGAGCTCGCCAAATAAACAACAGAATTTTCGCAAAATTAAATAAAACACAAAAGTAAGAAAGAATATGGTAACTGGGGTCTCAAAGTATGAATAGATGTAAAACTGATCAGCCTTAAGAAGAAACTGCATTTGGCTCAGATCTTCAGTAAACTGAGTTCTTAGACTTAGATGTAAGATCACATCCGTCTGGCAGAGAATCGAAGAACTCAAATTCCCGCTAAAATTCGCTCCCTTTGCAGCAAAACCACCCCAGTTTGTCAGTACCAGTACACGAACTAATTTTATGACGTCACGCTTATTTTTTCCCAAATTTCTTCTTCTCGTTCTCCAAACATCTTCGATAAACAAACAAACAAACCAACAAAAAAATAATTCCTAGTTTTTTTTTTCTTATGAAACAACAACAGCAACTCTGCCACTTGTCAGTAGCGTGATGCACCTGCAAAGTTGTTTGGTTCCTTTTTTTCTCAGTTTGTGATGACGGTACCTGCAGAATGACCCCAAAGTTGTGTTGCTTGCCGTCGCAGGCTCCATACAGTCAACTCTCGCTTAATGGACACCTCTGAAAAACCGGGACACCTAGAGCTAGTCCTTTTATTTGACACTCTCTAAAACCCCATTTACGCGTGCTAAAAAATCGGCACGGCACACCAAAGTTTTGGCTTCCGGGTGAGTCTAGGCACCCCTAAAATTTTGAGCACTGTTGCCACATTACATTTGGGACCGATACGTTTACACGTCGAAAATTGGGCGTGCCGTGAAAATCGTCAGCACGGTGCCAAAAATTTGGCGTGCCGTGCCGATTTTTTTTAGCGCCTGTAAATGTGGTTTAATAAATGGGGTTTAAGACGGACATCATTGGCCGTCCCAGGGTTGTCTGTCTTACAGAGAGTTGACTGTAAATCCAATCGTGGCGCGAACAGGCGAGAACGTGGTGGGCCTCATATTTTATCTTGAAGACCGCTTGTTTATAATAGGTGTATTGTTTCTTTCGGACGCGTGCCTAAAGAAACGAGCAGGAATTTTTGGATTCGTGCCTCCGTGCGTTTCTTTAGGTACGGTCCGGAAAAAAGGCTTCGGGCAAGCGATTTTCCTGTGAAAATGAGGATAAAGAACCCATTTTAGGAATTTTCTTTTTTTCATTTGGTTGTAACGAACTCAAAAATCTAAAATTATTAATCTATTCTTGATTCTCTCAAATACGAAGCGTTGCACTTGTTCACGCAATACAAGTGATTACCGTGACGTCATAATAGTAAGTCCCGGCCAATATCCGGGGACTTTTCTGATGAAATACCGCAGACTTATGGTGTCATATGAGCCGAAATAACATCAACAAAGAAGGTGACACGAAACCAGTAAACGAAATGGCGACTTAGCGCGAATATCCTTTGGTTCCTGATGGTTTCCAACAGAGAAATTTCTTCCTTATCAGAAACTTTAACTTTTAAATGGAATCTTTTATACATCTGTTCGAAACGGCAGCCGGATCCAGGGCCGAAACTTCCCGGGCGTCGATGCCCGAAAGTTTACCTCCCGAGGTTGGTGATCCTAAGCTTTGCAGGTTTAGTTTCTGTTAATAAGAAGTTTTCAATTTGTTTGTCTGTAATTTATCTTGTCATGAACAGGTTGAAGAAGGAAATGTGGAATACAAGGTAAGTTGATCGCTATTTTGGTTTCTTCATGAAGTAAATATTGCAGATTCAGCGCTGTAATTTAAGCTTACTTTTATCCTTTGCGCGGGAAAAAAAAATTCAAATAAAATAAATGAGCTCAATCGATCGGCATTTACACCTATCTAACGGCTAAAACTACCGTTATGTTTTCAACGAAAATGTTTCATGTAGCAGACTTTTTTGTACATATTTGCTTTAATAGCTTAAGCTGGAAACTCATCAAGTAAAGTAGCTGGTACAGATCAACTCCCACCAGTTTCCCAGGGGATTGATTTCAAATGCAAAACTCTGTCGCTTTATTGACCGGACACTCACAGCATAAGTTTTACAAACTGTTTTATTGGTTATCGGCGTTAATTAATGCAAATACCATTGTTTCTATGATTTACAGAGCTTACAGATGTACGTCCTTAAGATTTCAAGCTTTTTATAGTGGTTATTTCCTGGGCCCCCTTTCCCCTTATCATAGGCGTACGGGCAATTTTTTGCCAGGGGGGGCGTTAAGCCATTTGCCCAAAAAATTCTCCCAACTTGCCCAAATTTTTACGAAACAGTAGACAAGAAACGAAGGCGATACGATGCAATAACGTAGGCCGTACGGGCATATAAAGGTCAATACCTCCCAATTTTGAGAATAACTACGTCGCCATAGACAAACATTTGGAAAAACTGCTACCGTAGTTTTATTAGATGAAGATGAAAATTTATCATGAGCGGGGTTTTAATGACATCGGAATTGTCATAGCAACGAAATGACGCCATTGTCTATTTTACTTGCAGCAATATTTCTCGGCAATGGGAACTATTCCTACAAAATTGTTCACGAGAACTTTTTTCTCCAATAGTCGCCTCGATGTTCGTGAAGTTAAAACGGAATCTGTAGGAGCGTTATTGGGATATTTTGGGATGAAAGTTTTATCATTATAAATATGGGGAAAAAAGTCTTGATGTTTGGCTGTTATTTGTAGAAAACAAAGCTCTTTTGACATGCAATTGCACCTTATAGTAGCTTCAATCTTTTTAAAAACGTGTGTAAAAGAAGATATGATCATGGATATGGCTCCGGCCGATTGCTAGAGAGAAGGATTTCATTAGTATGTATCGAGGGGCTCTTGTTAGCGGTTTTGTAAACATTTCGGTCTACTTTAATAAATTATTGCTTGATAGATTTTTTAAAAAAATTAATATTCTTCTCGTAATTCGAGCGGATTACTAGTCAGCCACTTCTTCATTTTCAGACCCACTGTTGCTAAGATGATTCTAGAAAGATATGCGGAAATTTATTCTAATCAATTCACGACTGGAAAGAGCCCATTCCAGTCAGTGCAGTGCAGTACAGTGCTCACCAATAAAAAACTATAAATATGTAAATCAACAAATGATACCCTTCCCTATAACCAGAAACTCATCACGCGCTAGGCAACCACTGTGAGTGTCTCGAGAGAATGTAACTGGATTATTACGCTGACTTCAGGATTTTTTCAGATTAAAATAGAAAATATTTGTCTCTTTAGAGTAATAAAAAAAACATGGAAACGTCTTTAAAAACTGGCTTTACCCAAATTTTCTCTTGCTGCCCAAAAAATCTGAGTCGCCCAAAATTTGGGGGGGCTGCAGCCCCCCTTGCCCCCCCGGCCCGTACGCCTATGCCCCTTATTTTAACACACCGACAAATATATATGTGGCTGGTAATCAAAGGCATTTTCGATGAAGACCTGTTCAAATACAATACAGTGTGTTTTAGGTTAAAGGTCACTGCAGAAACTAGATAAACTTCATAAACACTAGAATATTTTATCAATAGAATATTTTGATTAAACATTTTCTTTCACAAATCATAACAGCTGAAACTTGTGAATCCCTCTCCGTCTCGTCTGGAGCACCTGGTAACACAGATGAAATGGCGCCTTCAGGAAGGAGACGGGGAAGCAATATATGAGATTGGTGTTGAAGACAATGGTATGTTTATTGGTCTTAAAAGAGAAGAGCTGGATTCATCTCTTAACACACTTAATGTCATGGCATCCAAGCTCGGTGCTCATACCACCTTGCTTAGACGTCATGTAGTGGAAAGCACAGGCAGTAGCTTTGCAAGAGAAGTGGCTGAGGTCTTTGTTCGGCGAGTGCCAGATGATCAGAAGGTATGCACAGCATGAAAAGAAAGTAGTGCCTGATAGCCTGGGGTTAGTGGATTTTGCTGTTGGCTATTGAAGCTTTTTGGGTAATTCAAATTGCGGAAGAACTGTAATCATTCGTGCTCATCAAAAAATTTTTTTTGGCCAGTTGAAATGACTTTAAGGCTAGTACATGCTAGCTACAGCTTGCCTGAATGGCAAGCTGTAATACTTACCTTCTTTGCACTCTGTATACAATATTTTGTTGTAGATGGACACTGATTCATTAGAAGTGAAATCTCTCTATATTTGAAAGACAGGCTCTACTAAAATAGAACATTGTCTTTACTTGTGGGTTTTTGCCGATTTCTGTGTAGTTGTTTGGATTGTATTGGCTGCCACCATTTTTGAGGGACAGTTGGGATGATCAAAACATTCCAGATGATTGCATCAAAGCGAGCTTATATTTCAGTGATGAAAAGTGGGAGGATTTGGACAATTTGTGCAATCGCAGTAATTTTTTATGACACGAAAACATTGATTCTGTACAGTTGATTGCCAAAAAATGGTATCTAATATCAAAACTCCAATTACTTTGTCTTTGTTCACTTTTCAGTCTGTTTCTCAGATCTTAGTAATTTGTGCATACCGTAAAATTCCAAAAATGAGCCCCTCCTTGTATAAGCCCCTCCAAAATAAATATAAGCCTCCCAAACTCATAACGCAAAAAACCCTCTGTTACATCGCCCTTCCGAATAGAAGCCCCCTGGGGGATTGTACTTAAAAATTGCCCTCTAATACAAAGTAAAACAATGAGCAAAAACGGTAAATTTCCTTCCAACTATAAGCTAGCCCAATCAACTTGGAAACGCAAATTTCCGTCCATGTACATAAGCCCTTCAAAAAGGGCCTTTGAAAAATATGAGCTCCAGGGCTTATTTTCGAAATTTTACGGTGTTTCAGTGGTTTGATACTCTTTTGTTAGTTTATTGACATACGACTCGCTGTGTTGGGAAACGTTGATGCTGGGAAAAGTACCCTGCTGGGTGTTTTGACACATGATGAGTTAGACAATGGCCGTGGACGAGCAAGGTTGAACCTCTTTCGACACCTTCATGAGATTCAAAGTGGGAGAACGTCAAGTATTAGCCACGAAATACTGGGATTCAACAGTAAAGGAGAGGTACAATAAAATACTATAGGACTTAACTTTCTCAAACCCCTTTTATGAGAAGGGGCCCAAAGCCCCCCCCCCCCCCCTCTCAAGTAAGTACTGTTACCACGGCTTTCAACCTTATCTGCTGCCACTTACATGAACTTTAATTTTTTTCTGCTTCAATACTTTAATACAGGAGAACCCTGTTTTAAAGAGTTACTATTTTGTCAATCTGCATTAACCTTATTTAGGGGTGTGACTTCTGTGTAGCATGAAACAGTGACAGGTATTCTGCAGCTTTATTTCTAAGTGGAGGACTATGTACCAAGAAAATATTATCACCTAAATTTACCTGAATTCTTTCCTTTGTAGGGGTTACTATAGATAGAAACGTTATTTATAGTTACCAGAGCTCAAAATAATGGCCGGTCAACCGACAGTATCCAGCCAAGATGATCATTTGTCTGGACAAACTTTCAGGTTGCCAGGCATTTTGACAGACTTGCAAGTAGGCAACCAGAAAAAAAATACATTTTCAAACCATTGTGTCTCAAGAGGAAAAGCATCTATTTTCACTTTATGTGACTGCTCTTTAGGCTAGTACGTTCAAGTTATTATAGTGTTATTTTTAACATTTTGAACAGGCAGAAGAGAGACAAGACCAAGCTAAAATTTCTTTGGACAGTCAACATGACTGGCAGCAGTCCCAAATTTATTTTAATTGAGCCCTGGTTACAAATCTTAACTTCTGTATTGAGTTTTACCTGAATTTTTGAAAAATGTATTAGTTAATGAGAATTTACACCTTTTTCGTGTTTACCTAGGTTATAAACTACAGTGAATCACGCACTGCAGAAGACATTTGTGAGCAGTCGTCCAAACTCATTACATTTATAGACCTTGCTGGACATCACAAATATTTAAGAACAACAATATTTGGTCTTACGGGTCATTCCCCAGATTTTGCAATGCTGGTCATTGCTGGAAATGCTGGTGTAGGTGTGTTTTAACACAGGCATTTTGCTCAAATATGAGCTTACAGCAGAGTTACTGTTTAGTATTGTACTTAACATTTATAGTGTGTGAAGTCACTTTGTTGCAGATTCCCAGTAGCTGGTGTCTCCCCGTGTCTTGATTAATAGTTGGTTGCATGATTTTGTCACATGTAGATCGTCACATTTATTCCTCTCCTATGTCAGTCTGGTTCCCTGTCCGGAATTCATTCATTTTTGGACAGGAACTGGCGCACCCAGTACATCCAAAAAAGAAGTTTTACAAGTTCTGCTGTAAGCTTTAATTTGTGCAGCTTTCTAATAATTAGAAAATTAAAAACAATTATTTAAATTATTTTAAATCTTCCATAAATTATCAATAATCACAGATGCATAGATACAGTTAAGTACAGTATGTTTGCCAAAAAAGTTTTGTTTTTTTTTAAAGTGAACTTAACTTTTTGTCTTAATTGATAATTTTAAAATGATTCTCTTACTACTCTGTGCAATCAACTATTATTATGTTTCCTTGCAGTTGTTAATTTGTTTGCAATGTTGAAAATTATGTTTAGTTGGAACTACAAAAGAACATCTGGGTTTAGCCATGGCCCTCAAGGTTCCTACCTTAGTTATCGTAAACAAAACTGACATCTGTTTACCAACAATGGTGGGACACACTCTAAAAGTTCTTGATCGACTTTTAAAATCTCCTGGCTGTAATAAAGTCCCTGTTGTTGTTGAAACTGAAGACGATGTTATAGTTGCTGCAACAAACTTCATTTCAAATCAGTAAGTAATGTTACCTTACTTGCCGGCAGTATAATTCCAGGAACATTTACCTATTTAATCATTAGCAAGTTGTCCCTGACGTTGTGCTATGCATAAATTATAAAATGTTCCACCAGAAAATTTTGAAATTTTGAAGCAGTGAGCACTCGAGTTTTCAACCAAAATACAGTACATTTCAGTTTTTCACTATGATACCCAATGTAGCTTGGTTGTTGTTGCAGGAAGTATTCTTGGTGAGCTGTTGTGCTGTGCAGTAGATATTGTTCATTCCCTTCTCAATAAATTTCAAATTGGTTATTTAATTATTGCACCACACATAACCCCAAAAGTGCAATGACCTTGTATTGCCTGTGAAAAAGGGTGTACTACAAGTAATAAGTCAATGTATATATTCTTTTCTTTAGGGTGACACCAATTTTTACAGTCTCCTGTGTAACTGGTGAGAATCTTAATCTTATAAAAAAGTTTCTGAATCTTGTACCTCCAGCGCGATCAGCCATGGATCAGGAGAAACTTGCACAGGAATTAACAGAGTATCAGGTGAGTTTCTTTCTAATCTTTGTGTAAACAGAAAAAACTTGACTTGTAATCTTCAAGGGTACATGTAGATGTCATTTGACAAGGCAAAAATATTTAATTCTGTCTATCAAAGGTGCAAACTTGTTTGTCTTCTGCTTTCACTTGCATTTGGCATCTCAATAATATTATTCAACATGGAGGGCTATTTTTTGGCAGTAGAGCCAGCTCTTAAGAAATATTTTTGCAAGCAACAACGCCACCAGGAAAACAGTCAGTATAAAATGTGGACTGCGGACTGGGTATAAAACATGGACTAGGTATAAAATGAGGACTAGAAACTATGGACTGAGTATAAAACAATATAAAACGCAGACTGTGTATATAAGAACATCTTTAGAAAGGTAAAACTGAGAGAAGCGGATAGCAGACTAGCATAAAACAGTAGTCTCAGCTCCTTGCCTCGCACACAAACATTCCTTTGGGTGGTCGCGTAGTCTACTGTCCTCAACGTCAGCGTCGTGTGGAGAAGGAAAGCATACTGCACGGGCAAGGAAGGTTATGCCGCTGCTCAAGGCAACTGAAAATAAAACTCTGAATTTTATAAAAAGAAGGAGTTAGAAGAAAATTCAATTGAATTTTTTAGTTTTAAGCCAATAGAAGATGTGAGATTGAGACGCACCAAATAAAAAATAGTATTAATTGGTGTCAGTGAGAGTAAAATTCTGCCACAATTCCATTTCAAAGCCTAGGGGATATGATGAAATGAAGAACCCAGACGAGAAGGTCAACAATATAGGGGCATTATGCGATGCAAAAAAGCTGTATTTAGGGGGAAGGGGTTACTCACCTATACATGAATAATAACTGAAATATATCATCCAACATTATATTCTAAGCGATGATGATATGATTTACACCTATGTTAACATGTACATTGCCTCTTAGTGACCCCTGTCATGGATGTTAGAGACCAAGACTAAGTCTAAAAGTGGGTGTAGAAAAAAGCCTTTTGGTCAGGCTCAGGATTTGGAGAACTGGGCGGCACACATCCACTAAAATTTCTAGGAGTATTTATAACTTAAACTCAAGTGTTATGCTTTTTAGCGATCTTTTGATCTTATTTTACCTTGACTAGAACCAATTAGCACAGTTTTTACCAACATAGTTGGCAGTCTGCATTTTATACCCAGTCTGCAGTCCGTATTATTTTGATACTGACCAACAAGGAAAAATTCCAACCTGACACATCCCCATTGTTTAATTGCATTCTATTTTATTTAACATTTCCCTCATTTTGTTTTTTTTTCCCTTTTTGACCAAAGTAATGCCCCTGAGACTTTGGCACTAATCGGTTTTACACGGTAGAGCTTTGTTTATGCAAGACCACAAGTTCTGTTGATTAGCCAGACTTTTTCCATGATAGTTTGTTGGGTCCACAGAGAACACAAGCTGCCCATTCCCCATCTCCTCCCCTGTCAATGAAAGTCTTACAGTAAGGGAGCACAGAGATTAGTTTGACGTTTGTAATATGTTGTGTTTGTTACTAGGTGGACAAAATATTCAATGTTCCTGGTACTGGACCTGTAGTCGGTGGAACTTTAGAAAGGTGAAAACAGACAAGGCAGCCTGTCCTACTGCTGTAATAGCCTAATGTTGTTTTTCCAACAAATAACAGTGATTTTGTTACCTCTGTACCTGCGTCCCTGACACATAAAAATCCCCAAAGATGCAAAATAATTCATGGCATGCGTCCCGTAGGATGCAAAGAACAATAGGTTTACTTGGAGATTTTTTGGTAGAATATCCTATTTGTGTGATTTCTGTGGCTGTTGTTTAAAGATGCATATTTATGTTAGTCTTTCTTGTGTTTAAATATATAGAAGGACTGTATTGTAATTTCAGTAAGCTGTAAAAAAGAGTTTTGGTGTCTGTCTCCAGACTGACTGTCTGGTTACACACACTGTAAAGGCCTAAGTATTTTCAATTTTTTGAACTGGGACTCATTGGTTATGGATAGGGACTCAGGATTTTTCACAAGATGAGTCCCAGGACTCACCATACAACTGTAACTATTTGTAGCAAAATCACTTCAAATAAACTGGACTACTCTGAAAAAATACTTGTCTTATTAGGCTTACTTTTCTTGGAGTGGTAAAGAAAAATCAAACAATACATAGCCGTTAGCAGGAAATCGATCACCCAAAGATTAAACTTGTTTTGTCTTGGGAATCAGTTTTACAGAAATCCAACTGTTTTGCTAACTCTTCCACCTCTTTGGGAAAAATAATAAGAGACTTGTAGTACAAAAATACAGCAAACTATCACAGGATTTTTGATTGAAAGTCTTGTGGTAGCAATTCATAGAGCGTGAATTTAAATGAGGCTAAATATCATTCAGGCAAAGTTAAACTTGAGCGAGTCGGCCAGCAGTCTTCTCCCACTCCAGAACATGACCTACAAGGCGGCCCTCGGGAAATTGCAGGGCTCCTTGTGTGTGCTTTTGTTGGCGATGAATTGAACTTTTAATAATAATCACAGTTTTGTTAGTTATTGATATTGAATAAGACTTAAAAAATATGTACAGTTACAAAGTTGCGCTATTTTAAGTCCCATCTGATTGTTTTCTTGTCAGGGGTGTGTTGCGTGAAGGTGATCAACTTCTCCTGGGTCCATTGCAGGACGGCTCCTTCCATCCAGTTACTGTGACATCTGTAAAGAGGAACCGCGCTGCCTGCCGTGTGGTGCGTGCAGGCCAGGCTGCTACTGTGGCAATTAGTGGAATGGATAGGAACTTGCTGAGACGAGTAAGTTTAATGAGTGAACTTCTAGGCTTTCTGTAAGAACCTGGCATTTGCAAGGCTCGAAAAATGTCCTGTTGTGTCGTCTGGGACAAGTAGATTTTCTTGCTGGGCAGGTAACCTTTAAAGCCCACTTTCCCCAGACATTTCATCCTCTATCTAAATCATTAGCTAAGACAAGCAAGTAGTTGCCCTGGTTAAACAAAACGTGAGACTTGCTTGCCTAAAGGTCAAGCTTGAATTCAAGTTTGAGGGGCTGCAGTCATAAAGGGTCATTTCAAATTTTAGGCCATTCTTTGGTTACCAAAAAAATACTTGAGGTTTTTGGTAAGTGAATGCAAATGACAACGCCTTTTCAGAGCGCTATTCGCTGCCTTTGTTGCCCTAAAAATTGCCTTGTGTAGCATGTCTGTGATTTCGTGTGCACAATCTTTACTTCCCTCTGCATTTTAGTATAATCACAAATAATAGTACTGTTGTCTTGTAAAATAATTTTTTTTTTCTTGGCAATAGCTATTTTGATTTACCATAATTATTTTGTTATGTTAGCTTTCGATGATGTGGATTTGTTTGTGTTCATTACAGGGTATGGTTCTCGCAGACCCTGTTCAGAAGCCATGCCCATGCTATGAATTTTGGGCTGACGTGTTTCTACTATTTCACACCACTTCGATAAGCAAACGTTTTCAAGCCACTGTCTATATTGGAAACGTTATTCAAACAGCAGTCATTGAGGAGATGAACAGGGTATAGTATATACACATAATCCCGATCTAGCCTGCATAACAGGCGTTCCATTTTCGCGTGTTTTAGGCGAGCGAGGAGCACCAAAAATAACGCGTCTTTCCCGTCGCGCGCGTCTCGCGCTCCACGCCTGCCTCGCGCTTGCCTTACCCTGCAGTTCGCTTGAAAAAGCAGACAATAACGCCTGTTACGCCGGCTGATCCCGATCAGTGGGTCAAGAAGTTAAAGTAAAACATTGCAAAGAACTCAGTGTAACTCAAGCAGTGTAATGTGATAAGAAATTACGCTAAGTATCCTTTATTTGAATAATCATACCGTACCATTTCATAAAAGCTTATTAACAATTATTCCTTGAGCCCGAATGGGCTCAGAGGCAAGCTATTGACTCAGAGGCCATGAGGGTGAGAGGAATAATTGTTTTAGTAAAATCCAACCAGGTGGTCAAAAATATCGAGAAAAAAAAATTAGCTAGTTAAAGCTAGACTTTAATCCTCTTTTGCCGCCAAAAAGCCCGCGCTTTTCGCTAATAGGGGGTTATAACATATAGCTTAGTAGTAGCTCAACCAATCAGAACGCAGCATTGATGATAGACCACCAGTTGGATTTTACTAAATAGCGATACTCTTGCTTACGTCTCCTTTTGATATTTATGTACGAATCAGAAGCCCATTGGTTCTCGTGTCGCTCGTTACAAATTTAAATAACAAAAGCAATGTTTGTAAACAGTGATGTCTCCGCTAAGCACGACCTCATTAGCCTTTTTTAGCCTGCGAGCGAAGCGAGCCAAGAAAGAACGCACGAACAAGCGGCGAAGCCGGGGGGAGGAAAAGCTGTTTTTGTCCCACCCCTGAATCTTCATGAAAACTTAAAATAGTGATCTATGTGCATGTTGCGAAATAAACTTCGGTTTTAGGAAAATTCACCACAAGTCTAAATTTCCGGTTCCTGTCACTTCTCGGGGGTGTAGCTCAGTGGTAGAGCGTCCGCTTTGCATGCGGAAGGTCCGGGGTTCGAAACCCCGCACCTCCACTTTTTTTCTTGTATATAAATTTTTCTTCCTTGTTTTCTTTTTCCATTAAGACCTTTTCTAATTCACGGAATGTGTAAAGTGTTTAACAGTAAAAAAGAAAGTTTCATTTCAGATTTACTAAAGTTAGCTGTACTTAGTTCTAGTTTATGTTTAATAATGTTTAATAGTATAAAGGGACACACTTGAGTGGTTACTTTTGAGGTAAATTTTCTCGGCATTTTTAATGTTGGGTATCATCAAGAGGTTGCAGCATTAAAATAAACAAGATATTAAGTGGCGTCACTCCTCGCGGCTCCCCCTAATGGAGAGCTTGTTCGCAGGCTAGCCCTTTTTCATTGTCACTCTAAGGATTTTATTCTCACGTTCGGTAGTTAGAATCAACTTACACACAGCGTGATAAACAGCACCAAAGAAAAATACTGCTCGGTAACTTTCTTAAAATTTGTAATGCCGGGTTACATCTCATGATTTGATCCATAATCCATTTCATAAACTATCAGGGGATTTGGCACAAGCTTTCGGCGCAACAATTTCTGGGATTGTTCGGTTGGAGGGGCATTAGTTATGATTGGTTGATGGTTGCCTTGAATACCATCCACCAATCATAAGTAACGCTTGTCCTCACCAAACGATCCCAGAAATCTTTGGGTAAGCTTGTGTCCATTCTCCCTCGAGTTTTTGAAGTAGGGAGTAGGCTCCTAGTACCACAGGATACCCAGTCACTAAACTGCTTATTATTACGTTTCTGTTTTACTAGGACTCTCTGAGGACTGGTCAACGAGCAAAGGTTCGTTTCAGGTTCATGAAGCAGCCGGAGTACATTCGTGAAGGAGCGAGGATCTTCTTCAGAGAAGGCCACACTAAGGGCGTTGGACAAGTGCAAAGTGTGATTTACCATAGGACCGTCCCTGGTAGATAGCCGAGCGAGCTGGTAACTCAGTAGCCAAGGGGACACGGGTGAATACAACGATTCTTCTGCAAGAATGAAGACGGGAGTGATGGGAGTATACCTCAAACGCCGACCAAGCGTAAAAAATAAAATACTTCAATTTTGACACTCTCATAAAAGCTGAAAACGCCTTCGCACCTAATAGCAAGGACGGAGATTCTTCATTTGACAGAGAGGGAGGTTTGGAGAGTGACGGAATAGTGGAAGTTGTGGAGATTATTATAACAAAACTTTCGAGGGATATAAAGAGAGGATCAAGCGGTACCCTGTTCGAGGCGTTCAGTTTGTGGGGCAACGCAAACAGATGTGAGCAGGAATAATCGCTCTCTGACTTCGCCCCGTAGTCCACTAACTGATCGCCTGAAACAGGCAAAATCAAGGCTGTTGGGCAAACGTGCAGTGCCGGAAGTGATTTCAGGTCTAATATCGATGAATAAAGCTGAACAAATCGTCCCATGCAAATGAACGAAGGTTGGAATTGGAAGGAATGCTTGCTCTGTACGAGAGAAGAGATGAGAAACCAAGTCTGTTAACCACTAACAAAGTCCTGATACTTAAATGAAGCAGAACGTGCCATTACATCCCCGAGCGAGTGAACCTATTTCGAAGATGTTAGAAAGAGGTGATGGTGGACGACAGCGAAATTTCATCTTACGAAGAACCAACAGGTGCTCAAGCGAGATGCAATGTTTTGTTCAACAGAGATAACTGGCATCTCATGTTCCAGCTTTAAACAGCCAGATAGCTCTGTGTTGGTGTGAGGTTTGTTAGGGAGTGGCTGTCGGGCAATCAGTTTCAGAATTGTGACGTCTACAGTGTAGACAGTGTATGAGTGCAAGTTCTTAATTTGGTGCGAATCATTAAGTCACGCATGCAGCAAATAAACTCACTGTTGCTGTGTTAAATTAAGAAACATGAAGGACCTGTTTAATGACAAGATGCGTGGAACTCGTGGTAGTCTAATTTTTCGGTATT